TGCACTCACAAAATTGGTTGGTAAATTCAACGAGTGGGTGCATCGACCTGGTATATCAAGTTTCTGCAATTTTTTACGGCAAATCAGTAGATTTTCGGGATGTAGATTGCTTACTTTCAATTCATGAATGAATAAAGCAACGACATGGTTGAACTTCTTTGCATGGAAAGACGTTTAAAATAACAAAATCAAGACGTATTTAATGCAATTGCATTTATATCGAGTCAATTTCTTTTCAATAATATAACGGGATTTTTACTACCGGTGATTTGGGTATTTTAGCCCCAAAATACCTTTAAATCGACTTTATCTTCTAGGAGTTCGACAGAATTTTTCCTTTCTTCGCTTAAATTATTCCGTAGCACTTTTCTTCAAGAATCTGATAAGATTTTGCTTGAGGCAGATCAAAAAACTTAAATTCGATCGAATAGCTTTCTACTTTCACAATACACGGTCTCGTCAAGGTGCGTCTTTGACCTCGCAGTGTTGGATCGTGAATTCTCTTTTTATGCTGTTTGCCTATTTTGAAATCTCTGTAAATGAAAACTAAAGGGGTTGATATGTGCGAGTTAATGACGCGCCTTATCAACACATTGTGTTGGAGTTCACTGCTTGTTTACCTCTCTTCTTCTTTCCTGGCACCCCCCAAAGGCTGGCGCCCATGTGCGCCGCACACCCTGCACACGCCCTAACAATAAGTCCGGCCTGGAGCCTGCAATTCTGGGGTCGAAGGATTGTGGAAATTTTCCTAAATTTCTCGACTCATCTCCGGAGGTTGGTCAAACAGTGAATCGGAGTAAACCGTTTCACCAGAAACCTCGAAAAACAACGGTGATACAACTGTCATCTATCCAAAAATTAACCGAATCCAGACACGAAACTTTGCCTAGACGAATTCCTCTCATATTTAGAGTCGCGCCATCATTTCTTATTCATTATTCGCCACGGAACTCGGTGTCCATACCATCTCTTCAAAAGGCATCCCAGAAAGAAAATTAACTGAAGAATAATGATATTTACAGCAAAATTGGGCAACAAGGCGCGAAAAATCGCTTCCCTAGTCTGCCGTGCTAAGGAAAAACGCCGTATGATCCTTCAGACATTGCCACATTTCCTTAGGTAAAACACGACTTCCTCGATAAATTTATGAATATTTTTCTTCAAGTTTTTGAGATAATTTTGTTCGCAATTTCACCCAAAGTTCCTGAAAATCTCAGTAAAAAATATTCATAAATTTCCTTAAAAATAAACATTTTAACGGAGGAAATGTGACAACTCTCGAATGTTCATTCGGCGTTCTTCCTTAGCACGGAAGTAGTGGAGGTTGATCTAGTGCGGCAGGAGGTTCTGTCCCGTCACATCGCGTGAGCCCGTGAGCGTGATGAGCAGAGGAAAGCAAAACGAAGGCATAGTTTCAGGAATCCCATCCTTCGCAAGCGGTCACTGGAGGTGACGGGAGGTGACGAGAGGAGGCGGGAGGAGCCGGGAGGAGACGGGAGGTGACGGGAGGTGACGGGAGGTGACGGGAGATGACGAGAGGTGACGAGAGGTGACGAGAGGTGTCGGGAGGTGACGGGAGGTAACGGGAGGGGGCGGGAGGTGACGGTNGGAGGTGACGGGAGGTGACGGGAGGTGACGGGAGGTGACGGGAGGTGACGGGAGGTGACGGGAAATGACGGGACATAACCTCTTTCTTGCCGCACGAGGTCGACTGACTTCCACTAGGGTTTGAATCACAGGGAGTACTCACCGGTGTAAACGTGGAGTTTTCCGGGGCGCTTGACGATGAGGTCCCTCAGAGCATCCTCGAGTTTGACCCAGTTGCCCCCGTTGAAGGTCTGCCACTGGGGCGCGACGTTGACGTAGTAGAAGGTTGCCAGCTGCTCGGCGGCGTGGACGAAGTCGGCCTTGGGCGAGAAATGCCCGCGGGCGAGGAAATGGTCGTCGCGACGGATGTACTCGTTGGCCAGGTCGGCCGAGCCCAGGAGAGCCGTCAGCCGCGCCAGCTGCCCCTTCCGCGTGTACAGGGCGTTCACGTCGATGCGCTCCTCGTCGAAGATGTCCGTCTTGAAGTTGATCCGCGGGACGCTGTGCTGTCGTCCGCGGATCCGCTCGTCCAGCTCGTGGCTCGCGTACACCGCCCGGTGCCGCTCCAGGTCGTAGCAGATCTCGATCAGCTTGATGAACCTCACTTCGCCCACTGGCCTCCGGCGGAAAGACGCCTTTTCTGGATTGAGAACGTTTTCGCTTGTGGCACTCTTGTTATGAGGCCGTTTCCTGTTCCGCCGTTTGGCGTTTCCGGTGTGCTTGGAATCACTTCGGGCGAAGCCCGGACCGTTTCTTGGAAGACTGGCACTATTTCTGGGAAAATTGGAGTCATCTCTGGAAAGACTAGGGCCATTTCCGGTACGACTGAGGTCATTTCCGGTAAGACTGGGGTCATTTCCGGTAAGACTGGGGTCATTTCCGGTAAGACTGGGGTCATTTCCGGTGAGACTCGGGTCATGGGCATTTCCAGCAGAGTTGTGGCCGTTCCGAGCGAAAGCGGTATAGCTCCTGATGGAATTAGCACTATATTCGGAAAGGCTGAGGCCATTTCCGGTGGAGCCGGCGCCATTTCTAGTAAAGCTGGCGTCACCTCCGGAAAGGTTCGAACCAGTATAGGTATAGCTGGGTTCACCTTCAGTGTGAATGGTGGTACTTTCGATTAGACCTTCAATATTTCCGGTAAAGCTTACACTATTTCCGGCGGAGCTAGCTGCATTTTCGGCAGGGGTTACACTTCCTCCGATGAAGCCGCCGTCGTTCCCGTTAATGTTCGTAATTCCACCGATGCGGATGTTGCTACTCGCAGTGAGGCTAGCACTGCTTTCAGTCAGCCTGACATCGTTTCCGGTGAAGCGTGCATCATGCGGCTTTAAGCTGTAACCGTCATCGAGAAGGCTGGCGTCGCTTCCGGTTGCAAACATTTTTTTCATTAGTATCATTTTCATTCCGTCTCTGATTGGTGTCTGCTCTTCCTGTCTTATTCTAATGTTTGATGCATCACGCGTCACGCGACCGTTTGTACCACTCATGTTGTTTCCGGTTGTGAATGTGCCCAACGCGCGGACATTTTCAACTACAAGAGGAGCGAGTTTCCTGCTACCAGTGCTCCTAAAATTTAAAGGCAAGTCGAAGGCAACATTGTGGACTCCTTCTTGTATTCGCATCCGATAACCGGCGAACAAACTTAGGAGCTTCGAGTCACCTCCGCTCTCCTTTACGGTAACGGACGTGTCAACTTCCGTATCCGTCGGTTCTTTTTCGGGCACGACTTTCAAGTTTCTCAGCTCAAAATCATTCTTAATTCCTCCATTCGTAGTTGTCGACGCGGCTCCTCCCTGCTTACCAACTTTGAGTTTACCACTGAAATGATCGGGCTTCATGGTACGGAAACCGTCTCCGGTTTCACCCATTCCCATTTCCATCTTCACTTCTGCCGTTTTCTCATCATCCTCTTCTACTTCCACTCTGACTGCACGGACCTCATTTCCGGTTTCATCAGCGTCCGTTTCCTTACCCGATTCGCCTCCCCGAATGCCACTTCCACTTTCATCCACACTTACTTCTGTTTCCGCTTCGACCGCACGGACCCCATTTCCGGTTTCATCTGCGGCTGTTTTCTTTTCCGGCTCGACTCCTTGAACGCCACGTCCACTTTCACCCACACTTACTTCTGTCTCCCCTTCGACAGCAAGGACCCCATTTCCGGTTTCATCTACGACCGTTACCTTTTCCGGTTCGACTCCTTGAACGCCACGTCCACTTTCACCCACACTTACCTCTGTCTCCGCTTCGACAGCAAGGACCCCATTTCCGGTTTCACCTGCGTCTGTTCCCATTCCCGATTCGACTACACGAACGCTGTCTCCACCTTCATTCACACTCACTTCTGTCTCCGCCTCAACTTCACGGATCTCATTTCCGGTTTCATCCCGGCTCACTTCCGTCTCCGCTTCGATACCGTTTCCAGTTTCGTTTCGACCCGTTTCCGTCTCCTCCTCGTCCGCGTCGACGTCGTTGTCGAGACCCACGCCGTTTCCTCCATCATCTCCTTCACCGCCGACGCTGGGACTCTCTTCGGACTCATACTCGTAGCCCACGTGAAGGAGCGTGTAGTTCCCTCGCGAGCAGGTGGCTCCGGTTCGGCGGAGGGTGGAATCGGGGTGCTTGGTGCAGCCGAGTTGGTTGATCCGGTAGGTGGCGTTGCCGTATACGACCGAGTTGTCCCGCTTGCAGACGACCCTGATGCCCCTCGGCTGGATCCGGCGCTCGGCGAAGCCGGACGGGCAGTACAGGAGGAACTCGGCGTTGGGCGCCAGGACGATGACGTCATCCTCTGTCGGGTAGAGGAGGGTCCCCGCGCTCTCGTTGATCATCAGCGACGGGATCGTGGCCAGGTCCCGGCTCAAGGATATGCGACATGAGTCCTCGGAGACTGAAACATGCGGAATTTTGAGATTAGCACACTAGAAAAAAAATACATTGGATCTAGAGTCCAGACTCTTGAAAACATCGACAAGGAAAAATGGACCGAGTTTAACAGAAAGGAACCAAGCCACATCAGCTATTGCCAAGTTTAACTGGGCAATTAATTTTTTTACGAGAGAGCGTTTGTTCGGATTTCTTTGAAAATTTTAAGGAATTTGCTTCGTACCATGGAGAATTTTCACTGAAATTTGCACGGAAATCCACACAACCGTTTTCATGTAAAAAATTAAATTGCCCAATTTTTGGCAATAGCTGATGTGGCTTGGTTCCTTTCTGTTGAACGCGGTCCAAATACTCTCGATTCAATCGGATTTTTGCTTAAATCAAGAACCAAGCCTCTTAATTTGAGCGGATTTCCTTTTGATCTAAGCAAACATCTGATCGAATCAAGAGTATTTTTTCTTGTCAATGTTTTCAAGAGACGGGACTCTAGATCCGATATCGACGGTGAAACTACCAAACCACGTATCTCGGTTTGCGACGTCGCAGACTTCCTGCCATACTTTATTTTTTAAATGAAAAACTACTTAACGTCCAGTTTTGAAAATTTCTGTGATTTTTCCTCTTCGTGCGGAGAAAATTCTGTGAAAGTTTCAAGGAATGATATTGATTTGGTCTACTTCAAAAAAATAAAATGTGAGCGTAAATTTTTAAACACCGCAAACGAGATACGTGGTTTGGTAGTTTCACCGTCGATATGTTTTTTCCCAATGCATGTCTGCAATAGAGTGGTCATGAGAGGAGGTTATAGAGTCGTGATAGGAATGGAGGAGCTGGCGCCACTTTTAAGTCACCGAATTCCATGGCTCCTGACCGGTGCCGGCTTAACATTTCGATACATAATCGATTTCTTTCGATGTACGGGTGCCCAACTGCCCAGCCGGCGGAAGGCCATCCTATGTGAACAAAGAGGCTAAGAATTATTATGAATTGGCTGTAGATTCTGTGATTGACTGTAGAGCGACTCATCTCACATCAGAATCAATCTTTTTTGGTAGGATTTGTATAAAGGGGGCCAAGAAATCCACATTTCTTGCCAAAATCGAACTTCAGATCCTTGTATGGATCAGTACTGAAACCAAAAATCGCCGAAAATGACCGGACCATGCGATGCATTCCGTAAAAAATAGACTTTCAATGAGCAAAAAATGGAAGAGTTGACGAAATTCACCTACGGTGTGCTCAAAAACGGCCTTCATCAATACTCCGCTTTTAATTCCTTATCTAAAAAGGTCGAATGTAATCTTTATTTCGGTACATCTCATCCGATTCCTTGTCAGAGCAAAATTCAAATGCAAAAAGGGACGCGGGGGAAAATGAAGGCCTAGAAGGACAAGGCGCATAAGTGCAATTTTTTTTTTTTTTTTTTTTTTTTTTTTTTTTTTTTACAAAAATTGATATGTTAGTGATTTCGAGTAAAACCAGTCTGAATGCAAATTCTGTGAAAAATCCGCTCTCAAATTCCAATTTTTAAGCGTCTCAAAGTCAGTTGGAACTTTGTTTCAGCCATAAGGAGCCATGGAAAAACACGTGTTTTTCGAGATGGTGAAAACTGCACTTATGCGCCTTTCCCTCCAAGTCCCTCAAATGCTGATATTAGGGAGAAATTCTGAATGGAGAGCCCGGGTGTCACCGTAGATAAAGGGCCGATATGAGAATGTAGGTCTAATACGGCCGCCATGTGGAATTCTTAAGTAGGAGAAACCAATCGAATCGAAGTTTAGCGCATTGGTGAAACCACTCACCAGCGGCCGCCACGATGATCTTGAACTTTGATTACATGGACATAAAGCAGTGGCATAGCGCTGCGCGAGGCGCAAGGGTAAGGTCTCAAGAGGAAACTCCTCAACACACGATCAATTTTATCGGCCTCTTGAACTGTTAACAACTCAGTGGCGTGCGTGAATGATCGATTATCGATATCTCGCCATTTGAAGCTACGGTAAAGAATCGATTACTAAGGTGTTCGCTGCGAACACCCTGATAATCGATCTTTTTCTATAGGTTTGAGTGGCATATCAATCGATGTATCGCAAAGCACGCCACGCCGCACTGTAACAACTCTGCCGTGCTGAGGAAGAACGCCGTATGAGCCACCAAGCGTTGCCAAATTCCCTTCGAAATACCACGAAAATTTGTGAATGTTTCCCTCCCGATTTTTCAGAGGGTTTAGTTCGTAATTTGATCTTATAAGTCTAAAAATGTCTTCTTCTTCTTCTTCTACTAACGACTAGGGCATGGCCCTGTTTGTCAAGCCTTCGAGTGCCGAGCACAAAATATTCAAAATATAGGTACTAATTATCTGTAAAGATTCGTCAAGTCAATGAAACAAATAGCAACAGGAAAATTCAATCATCTTCAGGAGAAGAGAGCTAGCTTTGTGCCCATCTCTTAGGCGGTCGCCCAGGCAGTCTTTTCCCTATGGGTTGTCCAGTCATACAAACTTTTGCCAGTCTCTCTTCATCCATTCTGTCAACGTGCTCCGACCACCGCCGAACTCCGCCTGTACTGTCTTCTATAGGGAGTGCTGCCGGCCGGTCCCAAGCCCGGGCTAAGGAGGAGGGCTCGGCGGTGAGGCTAGCAACCTGCCGCCGGTAAAAACACACAATCTGCTCAAAGAAGCAAAAAGAAGCCTAAAAATGTCAAGGAAAAATATTCATAACTTTCTTTAAAAACAAATATTTTGCGAGGAAATTTGGCAAAATTCGGATGATCATACGGCGTTTTTACTCAGCACAGCAGAAATCAGAATTTAAGTACTACGGTGACTAAAACTGAGATACCTACTTCCTAAAATTAATGAATAATCTGAAAGCTAAATGAACACAGAATTTCTTCATTTTATTAATTGGATCGATTTATTTCATATAAGGCGTAGCGCCACAAACACGATTTCATGCGATCTGTACATAACGTAAATTCAAAAACTTTCTTGAGGCATTGAAATTGCGTCGTTTCGCTACGTTAGATACAACTTCAAGTTTCAAGTTGGCAATAACAATCCATTATAACCCTATTTTTGAAATTTTGGCGCTTACGTCAGCCGGAAAATAATGGGTTCGTTTATGAGATCAACTAGGTAGAAATACATGAAAAGGACCTTAATAAATAGTTGCTGCTTTTCGGAGGGTTCTCAAACATTTTTTTTACTAACATCTTAAATGTTAAAAACTGTAGTAGATCTTCTTGCCGTTCTTCAACGTTTCTTTAACCGAAATGTTACCTGTCACAAAAACCACTTAAAGAGTACTCAAAAATAGTTTTCTGAAACATGAATCATGGCAAAAATTCGGAGCCGAACATGTCCGTTGCGGTGTTACAAAATTTCGCTCCTTTTTTATTTTTTCGAAGAGGAACAAGTCAACTTCACGGCTTGAAATTCAAACAGAATCTTCTTCTAAAAATGAAAGAAAAAAATCAAGAAATTTCTCAAAGAATTACACTGAGTAGCTTTCTAAAGCAAAAAGAAAGCATGGCGGAAGTCTGCATTGTCGCAAACGGAGATACGTGCCCTGGTAAAAATTGGCAGTAGAATCTGTGTTCCAAAATACCATAGACCTAAAGCCGGCTGTAAGATTTTCAATAGTTTCTATAGCCGGCTGCACAATTTCTTATAGCCTTTTATAGCCGATGGCGATTGAGCGACAGCCAGGCGATAAAGTCTATGCTGAACTTTACTAATTACGGATGCTAGGACTTTATGAGTTTTTGGACTAACGCTCTATTTTTGGGCAGTAGTATCTTGATTAATTTTGCGCGAAAAGCTCCGTACTTTTGAAAGATGCCTGCCATTCCTAATATGTTGGAGCGCCTTCAATTTCGTATGATACTGTGCAATACCTCTGGTGTGAAATAGTTGCTTCAAGCGCCGTGACACGCTGCGGCGCGGCGGGCGGGCAGCCAGCGCGAAAAGCGCCTTAGCGTCTACAAACCTAACACGGATACTTCACGCATTGCGCAATGCGTGAAGTATCCTTGTTTGGTTTGTAGGCGCTGGTGCGCGCTTATCGCTGGCAGCACGCCGCTCCGCTCCGTGTTAGGCTCCAATATATAATCTTGTGGAGTCAGCGTTTTTCAACTCATGATTTTGAAATGTTTGCACATCTTGTATGAATTATTCTCATTTTAATTGATTGAAAAAAAATACGTATTAAAGGAAAATATAATGTGTGTTTTGTAAATTTTATGGTGGTTCCGTATCAAACTTAATGATTTCCAAAGCACACGAATTTCTGCACAATTTCTTATAGCCTTTTATAGCCGATGGCGATAAAGTGTAAAGCCCGGCGATAGGAACTGTAGCCCGGCTGTATACTTTTTTATCGCTTTGTATAGCCCGGCTATATGATTTTCTCCGCTTTCTACAGCCAGCTATATGATTTTCTACTACCTTCTTTAGCCGGCTATAAGAATTCCTATGGTATTTTGAAACGCAGCTCCTTTCGCAAATTTTTACCAGGGTGGTTTCGCACATAAGTTCTAGCCCGGTTTAAAAACAACGTATGTGCCATTATAGTTTCCCTATGCATACAAGTGTTTTTCCAGAAGAGCCAGAATTCATAGCTCCAAATTGCAAAATGCAGTCCATTGTATTAACTGTCGTTGCCAACAGAGTTGGTTTTTCTTATTTTATAAATGTTTTAAATGTCTCCTCGACAATAATTAATATTAAGAATAAAGGAAGCCTTGATGCTATACATTTCCTAAAAAAGGGGTATATTTATTACTCAAATGGTGTCGAAGCTTTTCAGGTGGCCTACCCCTGCACCCATCATCAGGGCATTGAAGTTCATAATTATGTGTGGTTACAAACAGCAAACTACCTCACACTACATACCGACGGTGTGTGTCGGCAATCACCTAACTCGGTATGCGACGTGGCAGACTTCCTGTTATACTTTATTTTTTAAACGGAAAACTACTCCACGGAAATTTTTTAAAACTGTCGTGATTTTTCTTCTCTGTGCGAAGAAAAGTCTGCAAAAACTTCAAGGAAGGATGTCCATTTGCTCTCTTTTAAAAAGTAACATAGAGGTGGAGATTTTCAGACACGGCAAACGAGATATGTGATTGCGGACTTACGCCGTCGATACGCCATAAAAAAAAATTGAACACTCTATACCATAAAGAAGCGAACAAAAGAGGTAAAAAGCAAAAAATATGCAGAAACAATGCTATAATAAGCCCATTATCAATGATGATTTGAATCATCAATATGTCCGCAATAAATATACCCCTCCTTTAAAAAATGTATAGCATCGAGATTTCCTTTTTATTTGTAATATTGTTAGATGCTACTCCTTAAATTATGTTCAAATATTTTCAACAATGATTCGTATGAAATACAGGCAATACTTTGAAAATATCTAGTTCCGAGTATAGTGAACATGAACATAAAGAACATGAGAAACCCTTTCATTAATTATGAAATTGTTTGCCTGAAGGTTGCTGAACAGTCTGTGTCTCATACTGCCATCAGACTGTTCAACAACCTTCCCTTGAACCTGAGAAAAGCTCTTCAGAAATGGGAAGTAAGAGAGTTTATGGCTGGTCTAAAAGCCTTACTAGTTGGCAAGGCTTTTTACTCCTTAAATGATTTTTTTTAAATAATATTTAACTGTAATTTTCTATACCTTTTATTTTATTTTGTAAAACTTTATAATATTCTTAATGCTTCCCTGTGTTCTTACGTGCCTATATTATATTAATGTGTAATATTTAGGGGGGGTTGACAAGTATTATAGCCACAACACGTGACATTTATGTACATGAATTATAAATAAATAAATAAAATAAATAGTGTTTACCTCTGCGGCCGAGGATGTAGGACTGGACATTGAGGACGCTCGAGGTTAGGAAATAGATAAGAGCCACGACGATGGTCATCTCGGCCAGGTGTTGGGCGTACCTCCGGATCCTCACGCAGAAGGGGCGAGGGCGTCGCTCCAGGTCTCAAAAACCACCTATCTTCAATGGAAACTCCACGTAGAACCGCGGTTTTTGCTCGCGGATGACCTGTCGAGCGTGGCCAGGCGTCGGTTTAAAAACCACCTAAGTTCAATGGAAACTGCACGGGGAAACGCGGTTTTCGCTCGCGGATGACCTGTCGAGCGTGGCCAGGCGTCGGTTTAAAAACCACCTAAGTTCAATGGAAACTCCACGTAGAACCGCGGTTTTTGCTCGCGGATGACCTGTCGAGCGTGGCCAGGCGTCGGTTTAAAAACCACCTAAGTTCAATGGAAACTGCGCGGGGAAATGCGGTTTTCGCTCGAGGATGACCTGTCGAGCGTGGTCAGGCATCGATTTAAAAACCACCTAAGTTCAATGGAAACTCCGCCGAAAACCGCGGTTCTTGCTCGAGGATGACCTAGCGAGCGTGGTTAGACGTCGTGTCGCACCGAGCACCTCCCTCGCGGCGCTGATTTCACGCTGGACGCCCGTCACTAAAGACACTTGGACCGGATATCCACACGAAACTGCACATGAGATGCCACGCGTTTTCCAGAATTAAAAAACTGGATATAAGCGAGCGGGACAGTGCAAGTTAACGATTTTATCTGATCACACTTCGGGGCCCGAGTTCGCGCGAGCTCAAAAACAGGAAAGGTTCAATGAGCAGAACAGGAAAGGTTTAATAAATAGAACAGGAAAGGTTTAATAAATAGAACAGGAAAGGTTTAATATGTAGAACAGGAAAGGTTTAATAAAAAGATCAGGAAAGGTTCAATGAATAGAACAGCGAGGGTTTTGTAAATACAGGCACAGGTGGAGGAATGAATTCATACATGAGGGAGAGGTATCAAGACAGGTATACGTAGAGGTATCACGACAGGTATACGTAGAGGTATCAACACGTATACTAGTAGAGGCAAGCGCTAAAGTACAGGCACAGATTCAGGTGTGGATGTAAGTGCACGCGCGTGTATAGTTTAGGTTAAATGTTAACAATGAGAGTAGGTGATCAATGTGAACTTGATTTGTACCTTAGAATCAAAATTCCTTACTTATATTCTCCTGGAGTGGAAAGCACTCGACATTGATCGAGATTACGGATATTTTTTAACCTGATGTGTTTTTAAATATAATTAAATATCTAATAAGTAGTATGAACTGTGTTGGTGCTGAGACTCATCATTGACGGTTCAAATATCGTCCGTTCTCATAGTTGACAGTTTCTGTTTTGTCTATTCAATGAGTGCGGGATTAAATTTTTTAAATTTTTATAACGCCGTACCTGTACACTATGCACGGGAGAGGAAGTAGAGGGGGTGAGGATGATAGGGCGGGGGAGGAAACGTGGAGGGAGACGTGTAGAAAGGATTTGAAAGAGAGCGAAGGTAGGGAAAGAGACGAAATATATCGGTAGGTATTGATATCGCAGAGGAATCAGACGATTTGAGTTCGGGTTTGTGAGTTCAAGTAAGTGATCCTGATCCTTTCGTAGGAGACGTCTGCGGCAGGAATGACACAAAATTCACGGACGATGACAGTTTCCCGCAGTCTCGAGCGCAAAACTGACAAAATGACACGTTCATCACAGCCCTCTTTCGATAGGACACACAATTTTCCGACATTCGGTAGACTAGGCCTCTCCTGCGAGTGAAATAACTCCCTCGTCAAAATAATTCCCCACACTAGATAAAGCGCTGCGTCCAGTGCCTAAGCGCCATACAGAGCAACTATAATCTAATGATAATGAGAAATATATTTATCTCGAATACTAAACCGCAGAGAGACTGATACATTCACGCGACACGGGAAACTCAAACGTAGGCGTTGCGTGGGGAGTCTACCCTCTGAAATGAAGGCGTTTCGTGGGCCTCCAAATTCGCACTTTCTATTACTCGTCCCGATCGGGTGGCAATAAACCGCGGAACGAAGAGTTTATGACCGCGCGTATCAGCGGGCACTGGATCAGGACTGACGTGGAAAAGTGAATTGTGTCAGTAAGACGGAGATCGGTATCCGATCGGCTCGATTGCTGTTGCGTTATGGCGCGGCGCTTCGATGGGCCAATCTTCCCGCGAACGGAGAACCGCGTAACAGAGACTGTGGATCCGTTGCGTTTGAGTGGTTCTTACATGCGCGAAGCGTCGCGTCGGTGCGAGGGAGGAAAAAGCACGTAAAGTCAACACGACGTCAGTGTACAAAACTGCCGCGCTAGGGAAGAACGCCGCATGGACATTCGAGAGTTGCCAGATTTCCTTCGATAAAATGTTTATTTTTGAGAAAAGTTATGAATATTTTTCCTTGAAATTTTCAGGAGCTTCAGGTGAAATTGCAAGCAACATTATCAGAAAAATTGGAAGTAGAATATTCATAAATTTACCAGGAAATTCGTGTTTTATAAATAGAAAGTTGGCAACGCCTGAAGGTTCATACGGCGTTCTTCCTTAGCACGGCAGAAAAGTGGTATTGCTCGGCGTGGCGGAGATCGTTTCACGGAAGGACGCAGTAACCGCACGCTTTTAGCTCTGCCGTGCTGAGGAAAACGCCGTATGTACCTTCAGGCGTTGCCATATTTCCTTCGATACAACAGAATTCCCTGGTAAACTTATGAATATTTTCCTCTCAATTTTTTCAGATAACTTTGTTCGCAATGTCACCTAAAGTTCCTGAAAATTTCAAGGAAAATATTCATAACTTTCCTCGAAAATAAACATTTTATCGAAGGAAATTTGGCAACTCTCGAATGTTCATACGGCGTTCTTCCTTAGCACGACAGAACTGGTGGAAAGTCTCGCATAGTTCGAATGCCCACGTTTTTTCCTCACGTGTCGGGCATAGTTCTCTTGCGCGATATTACAGTGAAACTTATTGAGGATGAGAGGTAGTGAAGTGGTGACTGATTGAGATGTTTCATACAAAAATTCAACGAACGATTAACTTTTATGCGCCATAATTGCGGCTCTGGGTTCTACAATAGTCCAAGAACGATTATTTTACTATCAATAAATTAAGATTACCTACTACTTCAGGGGTAAATTCTTGACAAACTGATGCTTCAACTCAACTGATATTTATTTGTGATAGTACATTAGTAAAAATCTGATGTACACGATACACACACAGCCTTGTGCAAGTACTTCCATATTTTCATTGCTTGCTGGAAAAAAGTGACTTGATTGGAGCAGAAATACTTTTAAATTCGCCGCTAGTGACGACGATTGATCTGCCATTTAAACCTATGGAAAAGTATCGATGAACAGGGTGTTTTGTTCTCAACCAACACCTTAATGACCGATTCTTTTCCACATGCAGCTTCATATGGGGAAATATCGATAATCGATCATTCATGCCTCGCCAAAACGCTTTACTTCCGAGGAGATTTTTCTATTGAGTCAAGAAGATAAGCTTTTTATGTAGAGTTTGAAAGAATGTTTGGGTCAAAAGTTTATCCGATCGATCAAAATTTAAGGTAGTCGGCAAAATTAGAGTGGCAGCCGGGATGTTTAATAAGTACGGCCGCCGATACTTCCGAAATTCGAATCAAGTAAAACCTGACAAGTCAATTTCCTGATAAACCCTGAATTTCATGAGAATATCTTTATTCTGGGACCCATCAGATAATGGGCATGTTCCGTTATAATACCCATCAATTCTTTTCTCGGCGTATGCAAAACTCAATCTCCGGCTCGAAAAATTCACCAATAGTGCTAATACTCAGGATTCGGAATTTTGGGTGAGATGAAATTATCAACTCTCAGTATTCCGGGTATTGTCTACTTCTTTGAAAGAAAGTCAACAACGCAAGAAACGATTCAGACTTGTGTTTCTGTGAAGGACTGTTAAATGTTGATTTTGAAAAAAATAAAGCATGATAAGAAATGTTTAATGCCACGAATTGAGATACGCTTCCTTCAGAGCATGATAATTTCTTTTCCGCTGCGCTTTCTTCCCCCGAATGTAGGCGCAAATATATTTTACTTTTGACAGCTGATTGAAAATTTGCAACACACGCATACTCAAATGTCTCATCACGGTCTTTGCCAATCATGTTACAGCATCCTAGAGCCCCAGACTCAAAAGCCTTCTAGCAGATTACCTCATGCAGCCCCTTATTCTTTGAGCGATAATTATTTCAACACGACTGTCGTGAAGTTGCAGGCTCGGCATTTTGAAGGCGATTTCCGCACGCTCAACCAAGAATTCACCCAGAAAATGGAAACGTCATAGACATTCATCTTCGTGAAACTATACGTCTCACTCTATACTCCCGACGAAAAATAGTGCCAAAATCGTCTACCAGGTGTGGGTGAAGAGAAAATGCGGCATGTTACCACAGTCAATACCTACATTGCTTGAACCTAGGAATAACTATGATAAAAATGACCCAGTAAGTCGTACTTAATCAAGAATAGTTGTAACCATACTCGTACCACAATATACCATAATAATCACAAAATACCAACACGATGTGTTGTCGCTGCAATTGATTAAGGGTTCATTCATATATTATGGAACGCCACTAATTTAGTGACTTTAACCACATTTTTGCTTGGAGTGTTTTACTGTTTTATGTAGGTAGGTACATAGATATCGACGGTGTAAGTCAGCAATCACATAACGCGGGTTGCGACGTCGCAGACTTCTCTGTGCGAAGAAAATTCTGCAAAAACTTCAAGAAATAATGTCAATTTGTTCTCCTTTAAGAAAATAACATAGAGTCGGAGATTTTCAGACACCGCAAACGAGGTATGTGATTGCGGACTTACACGTCGTCGATATTCGATGCGAAAAGTGAATCCTAATTGAGACACTGTATAAAATAAAAGAAAATTCTTGATTGTAGTGTTTCAAAATCTCTTTTAACGCAGAGTTTTCATCATAAGGAAACAAAATTCATGAGAATCGTTGAAAATTTTCACTCGACTTTCTCTATGATTTTAGTCCATTAAACGAAAAAACTGGAAAACCACTTCTTCGTTTTCTCTTTAAAATAAAAATAGACCGCAGTGATTCTGGATTACTGCAACCAAGGAACGTCCCTTCTGCACCTAGAGCTTCAATTTCGGAGTTTCAAAATTTCACTTCCTACTTTATTTTTTAAAGGGAATAATTTGACATTTTGTATGAAATTTATCGAAATTATTTTTAAAAGGAGATTTTTAAAAATCAAACAAAATTTGGTGCAATATTGATGACGATCAGACGATCATCCTTTAAGAGAATAATTTCTACCGAGATATCGGCTACGTCGTACACTATAATAGAGTTTCAGCCGAAATAAGGCTAGATTTTCAGATATTTTTCGTGAGATTCTAGATTTTTAGGCTGAATCTGAAAATGTCAACCTTTACCTGAACCCATTATCTACTACGGACTATATTCTTCAGTTGATAATTCCCAGAAGAGAATGTTTGTTTAGACAACCGGAAATCTCGTTACAGTGACAGGGCGCCACTTTGAAATGGACCGCGTTAAATAGGAAGGAACCAAGCCACATCACCTATTGCCAAATTTAACAGGGAAATTTTATTTTTTACGAGAGAACGTTTGTGCGGATTCCTATGAAAATTTCAGGGAATTTGCTTTGTATTATGGAGAAAATTCACTGAAATTTGCACAAAACTCCACACGACCGTTTTCATGAAAAAATGTAAATTGCCCGATTAAATTTGGCAATAGCTGATGTGGCTCGGTTCCTTTCTGTTTAACGCGGTCCACATAACAGAACAAAGTTTAAACAAGGAAATTTTCTTGTTGACTCAGGGCATTGGCGGATCCAGCAAATTGGTGACATTGTTATTCTCCAATTAAACCTATGGAAATGTATCAATTCTTGTAGGGGCCAGGTGCTCCTTGCCGGAGCACCTGGATTATTAAAATAGGTTTAAATAAAGGAATCCGGTGTTGCCAAATTGCTGGATCCACCTCTGACTCAGGGAAAGGGAAAATTGAATAGCATGGGAGGACAAGGCTCAAAAGTGCAGCTTTTGTAAAAATTGAGTTATCAATTCTTAGAGGGGCTTGGCAGACAATTCGCATAAGTATAGTGTTTGCTATTTCGAGAAATACGTGTTTGAAGTTTCGAAATTACACGGATCCTCATGGCGGAGAATAAGTTCAAACTGACTGTTTGATGCTTAAAAATTGGAATTTGGGAGCGAATTTTTCACAGAATATGCATTCAGACTATAGTTTTACTTGAAATTATCAATAACTCAATTTTTTCATTAACCGCACTAATGCTCCTTGTCCTCCAAGTCCCTCATTATTCAACTGAGACTATTATTAACAAATATTCTCTGAAAAATTCACTACTAAAATTCAGTTTTTAAGCATCAAAAAGAGAGTTCACTTACTTCTTCCCATAAGGATCCGGGTAATTTTGAAACTTTAAACTGACGATGGCCAACGTACGAAACCGCGTATCTCCGTTTGCAATGTTGCAGATTTCCTATCATAATTTATTTTCTCTCCGGAAAACCAATCAACGCAAATTCCTGAAAACTGTCTTGATTTTTCACCTCCGTTGACTGGATAATCTGTACCTATAGATTTCAAGCTAAAAAGTTAGCTTTTTTCGTCGAAAAAGTAAAATGAGAGCGGATATTTTGAAACACCGCAATGGAGATACGGATTTTGATGTGAGGCTTGCTCTCCATATAAGTTCATGCTTTTTGAGGCTCATAAGGGAAATGGGATACGGCCTTCTGTCGAAATAGCGACGACATGATGTTCTCTCTCTTTTGCCGTGCTGAGGAAGAACACCGTATGGACATTCGAGAAGTGTCAAATTTCCTTAGATAAAATGTTTGTTTTTGAAAAAAAATATGAATATTTTTCCTTGAAATTTTCAGATACTTTAAAAAAAATTACTACCAAAATCATCTGAGAAATCGGCAGAAAACATTTAAAAAAAAATCCTGCAGATTCGTGATTTGCCAGAGGGAATTTGGCAACGCCTGAAGGCTCA